AGTGTGTCATCCATGTGAACCACATCTGCCCTGTATAAAGGTAGAAGGGTTGAGAATTCATCCATGCAGTGTCTTATCATAGATCCTAGTTCAAACTCTTGAATAGAGAGGCATATCTAAGTGCACACTCACTAGTTCTTTTGGCCATTCCAATTGGATCCTCTGCCTATCTTTGCTTATTCTTATACTCATTCTTTTTTTTTTTTTTTAATTATTTATTTTGCTGTGTTGGGTCTCAGTTGTGGCATGCAGGGTCTTTCATTGTTGTGTGCAGGCTTAATTGCTCCAAGGCCTGTGGGTTGTTAGTTTCCTGACCAGGGATTGAACCCATGTCGCCTGCATTGGAAGACAGATACTCTATTCTTTTCTTTTCTTTTTTTTTTAATTGAAGGATAATTGCTTTACAATATTGTGCTGATTTCTGCTATACATCAGCATGAATCAGCCATAGGTATACATATGTCCCCTCCTTCTTGAACCTCCCTCCCACTTCTCACCCCCTTTCACCCTTCTAGATTGTTACCGAGCCCCAGTTTGAATTCCCTGAATCATATAGCAAATTCCCATTGCTTATCTATTTTACATATGGTAATGTATATGTTTCCTTGTTACTTTCTCCATTTGTCCCACACTCTCTGACCTGCCTCCTCCTCTGCCCATGTCCATAAGTCTGTTCTCTATATCTGCATCTCCATTGCTGCCCTGCAAATAGGTTCGTCAGTACCGTCTTTGTAGATTCCATATGTATGCATTAATATATGATATTTGTTTTTCTCTTTCTGACTTACTTCTCTCTGTAAAATAGGCTCTAGTTTCATCCATCTCATTAGCATTGACTCAAATGCGTTCATTTTTATGACTGAGTAATATTCCATTGTATTTATGGAATATCTGTTCATCTGTCAAAGGACATCTAGATTGCTTCTATGTCTTGGCTATTGTCAACAGTGCTGCAATGAACATTGGGGTACATGTGTCTTTTTCAATTTTGGTTTCCTCAGGGTATATGCCTACTAGTGGGAATGCTGGGTCATATGGTTCCAGTTTTTTAAGGAATTTCCATACTGGGAAGATGGATTCTTAACCCCTGGACCAAAAGGGAAGTCCCATTACACTTATTGTTGTTATTCTTATTCCATAAGCCTTTGTCCCGTGGCTCCTTCTGTCCTGAGGACTTTCTAACCTCAGTTAGTGCTGCTTCTCTCTGCTCCTTGTGTGACTTCTATCAGACCCTGACCACAAGGGTGCACGGATGCGTCTCTCCCCCTTTAGACCCCAGGTGTCCACCCAGGGCGGGGAGCAGGCATTTGCTTGCTCTATCTGACATTGAGCTGTGATCAGAGAGTCAGGAAGTGAGCAGTTAGTCTTTCTCTTTAGGACGGATGTTTCCTCACTTTAATGAGAAGTGGTTATGCTGTTCTGAGGTCTTGAGACCTGACCAGTAGTGGTATGCCTACAATGGAATGGAAGGTGGTGTGATGAAAAGGCATTGAAACACGCATCTACAAGGGAAACCTGGCTGAATGACTCACATTTCATTAGGAATTATGGGCTGCTCAGAACATCTGCATCCATACATTAGGGAATGGGAAGCATGGAATCAAGTCGATCCCCAGAATTCTTTCCCCATCACATCCCTTCAGAACTTTAAAAAGGCTGATAGCTGTGAGGCTGGGGTAAGCAGGTAAAAAAGCAATCTTCTTTGGGTTTTCTCCCAACACATTCACTGAGCTTTCTTGGCAAATGAAAGCCTCTTCCATTATTCATTCATTTTAGTACATTCTTATCGAGTGCCTACTCTGAGTCAGGTATTGCGCTGGTTGCTTGGGATACAGTGCCTGTGTTCAGGGAGGAGCTGCGGGCTTCTTGGGGAGAGAGAGGAGGAATGAACAGAACACTGCAATTCCCTGAAGACCATGGTCCCCAAAGAGAACAAAAGCTTTTATAATGGACATAGTTTGTATCACACGGAGCCTCCTGTCTGCTTTGTACAAAGGAAGATCTGCTGCCCTTTACCCTTTTTTTTATATAAGCATAGGCTTCATAGTGTGGTCTGGAATATCTGTATTACCACTGAGAGAATTCAAAGCCAGGGAGAAATTATTTGTGGTAATAGGTATATTTGGATGTGTTTGAAGAATTTTGACTAGCTGATGACTAAAAAAGGCAAGAAAATAATTTTCTCCTCTCCAAAGAAAATACAATTTTGAAACTGAGACAGGGTCAATTTTGTTGGTCACGGCAAAGAATCTTTCTGCTACTATTTATCTGTGGGAGTTTCTAGGAATCTTTAAGAGAATTTCAGGAAGACAAATGGAATGTTTCTTGTTTTCTTTATAAAGAAAATTCTTTTAAAGTTCAAGGAGGGGTGTGTGTGTGTGTGTTTGGGAATGGGGGGGATGCCTGAGTGAGGAGAATGCTCTTCTCAGTTGGGCCCCAACTACCTTTTAGGTTCCAGTTACTCCGTCCACCTCAGTGCCACGTGCCCCTGTATTCTGTATGGCAAACACTCCAGTTCTCACCATTCTTCAGACACATTTCCCCTTTCTTTGTCAATCCTTGCTTGCTGCCCCCAAACTAGATACTATCCATTGAGGCTTCCCTGGTGGCTCAGATGGTAAAGAATCTGCTTGCAATTCAGGAGACCGGGGTTCCATCCCTGGGTTGGGAAGATTCTCTGGAGAAGGAAATGGCAACCCACTCTAGTAAGTATTCTTGCCTGGAGAATTCCATGGACAGAGGAGCCTGACAGCCTACAGTATATGGGGTCGCAAAGAGTCGGACACGACTGAGCAACTAACACACACACACACACACACACACACACACACACCATTTGCTGCATCTCAGGAACACCATTCTCGTATTCCATGGACAGAGGAGCCTGGCAGTCGCAGTCCATGGCGCTGCAAAAACTCGGACAGGACTAAGCAACTATTGGGTGTTTTAAACTTTAAAATTCTCTGGGCAGTGATAGGAACCAACAGTAAATGGCTTGTGGAAGCATGATACATAAGTTTTAATATGATACAATTAAAATGTCCAAGCTTCAGTATACATATTCTCTTTTGTGTATTGTTCAATCTCAGTTTTCATCTCCCTGAAAATATTCCACAGTTGCTTTTTTTTGATCTCAAGATCCTGTGCTGTCAGCCCTGCCTTCTACCATCCCAAGAAATATCCTTTTGATGAGATGAGAAACTTAACCATCTGCTTTTGGCACAGTGACTACCCCACATTGTGGAGTAGAGAGGGGGTCTGGGGCTGGTATCCTAGATGGTTTTGAGCTTTTGGAAGAATCCACCTTCCCTACTTTCTGAAATGGATCATAGTGGGTCATGAATGGAGACACAGCCTTTCTATCGGGGGAGGAAGCACCATTCTCTCAATTCTTCCACCTGCGGTTGAGGCCAGAGGATCAGGGTACATTTGTTCACGACATAGGTTCTAACTTTTGTCACTAACTGGAAGAAGTTAGGAAAATCAGACCTCATATCAGTTAAATTTGTTTGTTTTTCTCCTTTTTACCGAATAAAATGTGAATTTTTTAGTAATTTTAAAAGATCCAAAAAAATTAAAGAGCAACGAAATGCAGTCCTCCTAGTGTCCTTCGCCAAGCTAGCAGCGGTTAGGTGAGTGAGCAGAGGGCATATCTATAATTCAGCTCGGGAATATTTCTCTTAATAATTAATAGAGTGCTACAAAAGGAGGAGGCCAAATAGGGCCCTCGAACAAAGCTGCCAGCTGAGAACGACAGTGGTCGCCTCGGAGCCAACTGACCCGCCCAAGGTCGGAATTGCTCCAGCAGTCCGGGCGCGCGCCACCACCGCCAGCTTGGCCACAGGGGGAGCCGGGAGAGGTGCCCGGAGCCCCGCCGCCACTGAGCGCGCGCGCGCGCGCGCGTGTATGTGTGTGTAAATTCTCACTTCCCACAGCTAATTTTTCTTTTGGCATATTTATGAGAATTGCGTGTTAACATCCACGTCCAGGGGGCACTTCACCAAGCAACCACCAAATAAGCAATCCGGAGTCCATAGTGGGTGAGGAGCCGCTGCGGGCGCACTCGCGGGGCCATGGGGTGTCGGGGTATGTGGGGGGGAGTGCGTTTTTTGTTGTTCAGTGGAGGTGGGTGGCATTGGAGATCCGACCACTAGGACAGACACCCCCGGGAGCCAAACCTCTCGCCAAACCGTATTTCTTTCTGCAGCAACAGGTTCCCCGAGGGCTGGCCCCGCCGCCGGGGCGGACTGGCAGCCTACTCCTAGCCCTTTGACTCTCCTAACTCGGACCTCAGCCTCCCTTTCCTAGCCCTTAGCCTCGGCCCGATTCTAATTTCAGTAATCCTTCCCTTCTCCGAGTCCAACACCTGTGTAAAGTCGGTCTCTTCCGTGCCGGAGCGTCCGACCCCAGAGCTGAGGCCAACAAACTCTCCACAAGGAAGGCGGAGACCGAGGGGTCTGGGCGCGCTTGCGGGCGACTGGACAGCTCCGGGCTGGCGGCCTCGCCAGGGATGCCCCCGGGGGTCCCAGCCCCACAAACTCGTTATGATGCCGGGGTGGGGGGTGCGGGGTCTGTGTGGTGGGGTGGGGTGCCGGGGGAGATGCAGAGAAAACGCGTCAGGAAGAGGAGAGACACGCAGAAGCACCTTGCGGTCGAGCCTGGACCTGCCGTCGAAGTCACCTCTTCCAGCCTCTCCTGACCTTTCTGCCCTGCCGTCGGGACCCCATTTCAGGTCCAAAGGGGACACCTCTCCCTCTGCGATTAGCTCCTCGCCTCTGGGGGCGCCAGCTAGGGGACCCTGGAATGCTGCCCAGTGGCTCCCGGGAGCTTCGGCGTCTGGGGGCCGGGCCGGGGGGCGGGCAGCCGCGGCATCGTGACTGTGCCCGCCCCGCAGCGCCTGGAGGCGCCCCTGGCGACCGCGGTGAACGCCCCACCCTCGGACGGCCCTGGCCCCGCCCCCGGCCGGCGCGCGCTCCCGGCCAGGGGAGGCGTGTGCTGCTTCTGCAGCCAGCGAGAGAGCGAGAGGGATGGATATTGGAGGAGGAATTCGGGCTTAACAAGTGATCGCTGCTGTCTAGGATTTTGTTGTTGTTTTTTTTCTTCTGGGGAACCTTGACTTCTTTTCCCCGTCGAGCCCTTCTGTGCTGAACTCCAGAGAAAGCAGGAGTCTTGGGGTCTTCCCTGGGGCAGCCCTTTTCCTCACCCCCCGGCTCCAGCAGCGAGAACTCCGTGCCCCCCCATCCCCCGCCCCCGACCAGGCAGCAGAACTTGTTCCGTGGATATTTGGGAGCTCCCACCTGCCACACCGGAGCGATTCCTTCCACCCCCAAGATCCTTCTTCCCCTCCTCCAGCTGTTGCAGCTTGAGGGGGGAAAACAAGCCAACCGGGGATTTTCTTTATTTTTATTTTGCACCCCGCCTGGGAATGGTAAGTATGACATCTCTCTTACCTTTCCTCTACTCTCCTCCTTGGCTATTAAGAAACAGTGGACATATGAGGGATAAATAATGTCGAGAATGTGACAGAAGGGCATGAATGGAAGACGGTTAAAAATAAAACTGGAGGTGGGAGAAGGGAGGTGCAGATGCTGCGCGGCGCTCCGGGGGGCCAACAGTTGTTATTTTCCCAACCCCGGGGATGGGGTGCGTGCGCCCTGGTTAATGTGCCCGAGCGGGAACCCAGGTCTGGAGGCGAGGGCGCGATTAAAGATGTCGTTTCCCAACGAGGTGGGGTTTAGATTTAGCATCGTTTTGCCTCATCTCAGACTCACCGGTTCTATTTCTTTGAGAACAGCTGGTGAAGGGGTTTGAATTGCTGGTTCTCCCAACATTTGGGGTTGAGTGCATTTTCTGAGCATTTGAGCAATACATAGAGACTGTATAAATGGCGTGCGTTGAAGTGTCTATTTCTCACGGTATTGGCCCTTGGAATTCTCTCAATCTCTTTCTCCTTTTCTCTCTCTGATAAGGTTCAGGTACCACCCTACAGTTGCAGGAATTAGCACTGAGAGAGGAAAACAGCCTTGATGTTGGGGGTGGGGTGGGAGGAGGAGGGGCGCGATGCTTGACTCTTGTTTGGGGGCGCAGGGATTGGGGAATAGGCAGTCAGCAAAATTCTATTAGTTCGTGGTGTTAAAGAGGAAAGGATATTCCCCTGCAAGGTCTCTCCATAAAATCTCCTGCAAGGTCTCCCCCATAAAGTCTCCTGAGAGTCAGCTTCAATAGATTCTCCTAACATGAATACCTTGAGTGGAGAAGGGAGAGAAATTTTAAACTAGTCTGATTTGCTGGTTGGAAGGATTTTTTTCTCTTTTTTCTTTTTCTTTTTCTCCCCACTCTTTCCCTTTTTATAGATTCTTCTTCCTCTTCTGAGAATAGTGAGGTGACTGGTAACAAATTAGAAGGAAGATAATTTGCTCTATGTACAGTGGGGGAGGGAGTTAGGTAAACAAAAATGAACAAACCCAAGTAAAGAAGTAAGTAAAAAAGAAACTATTTGGTGTAAAGAGGGCAAGTCTAGCTCTCCTGCAGAGTTGATTGTGAATTAGAAGACCCTCTAACTCCTGACCTTCCGGGAGTCAGTTCAGTTTGTCGGAAGAGGGGGTGTGCGTAGTATAAGAATTCACAGGCACTTTGGTTACACTGGGGCTGTATTTAACTAGTGTATTATAACTGCCTTGAGGGGGTTGGGGAAGAAACTGAGGAGACTCTCAGGCTGTTTGGCTTGTGGCAGTCTTTAAAGGATATTGGCCTGACCCTCCACAGAGAAGATAGATATTTAGAGACCTTGTGAGAGTGACCATTTCAGAGTCGGAGATGATCTTGGGAGTCAGGCAAAGGAGGAGACCATTCCAGAAAGCTTCAGAGGTGTGTTTTCTGCGTTCTGTGTCCCAGTCAAGCTCACCTCTTGCCCTGGGAGAATGTGATGGATCCGGAAGGGATGTGTGATTGGGAAGACCTTTGTTTGCTACTTCCATGACTGTCACTTGATAAAACCTGGGTGTGTTTAGTCTTCGAGGCCGACAGGATTCAGCAGCAGGTGGTCAAGAGGTGAGTCCTGTTAATGGCTCCAGGAAGCCATTTCTCTTATGCTCCCCAAGAGCTTCCAGTAACAGAGGTTGGTAGCTGCCCTGAATCCTGGCTGTTGTTAGCCTCCCCAGTTCTCTGGGTCACTCTGCATTCTTGGAAGTCTTGTTGGACCCAGGGAAGGGAAGATGCAAGAGGAGACAGGAGAAGCGAGATTAGGACAGGAACATTTACAGGTTCTGGCAGAGGAGATGAGTTAGTTGGACCTACAGAGAACAAACTAAGGAAGAATGAAGGTCAGGAATACGAGGTGATGGGGGGAACAGAAGAGGGTGGCAGAGAAGCTACGATCAGGAAGTGGCAGATTGGAAATAAAGGGAAGGAGGGAGGGAGGGAAAAGAGAGGGGGATTTGGGCCATGGAAACTATGGTAAAATTATAGGGAAGAAAGTATCATAGGCTGAAAACAAAGTGCACACAAACTGGGATTTGAAACATAAGGAGACAGTCCTTGAGCAAAGTGTAGGAGGAAGCATCAAGGTGAACATGGGGGAACTGCAAGGAGAGAAGATGATTATTAGAGAAGTGGAAACTGGGATTAGCTCCTAGGCTGTGGGTGGTAGGGAGTGTTCTGGAGTCTGGGGAACAGAAAAACAACCACAGGGACATGCTTCAGGGACTCAAGGAATGCCAACTTTATACAGACCACTCGCAAGCCTCAAAATGTCCTGGATGTCTTCACGTTCTGTCCTTCCCCCGCTTAGACAGTGGTATAAGGACATACGCATTTGGGGGTGGGGAGATTGACCATAAAGTATTATTATGTTATTAATAACTGCAAGCCTTTATTGATATCCTCATGTACAAGGCACTGTGGTGTTCTGTCAACATCAATTATCTCATTTAATCCTTACACAATTGGGATGGGAGAGGTTGTATTATTATCTGCACTTTGTAGATGAGGTGACTGATGCTTGTTCAAGTGGTGGAACCTGGATTAAAGAAAACTGGTTTTTCCAACTCCTCTAATCCTATTTCAAGTCAGAGGGGTGGAAGGCCACTGAATTCAGAAATACTTGATGAGTGGAAATTTGAAAAAAATGCCTTGAGATGAATGAATGATGGAAGCAGCTGTAAAGTGACAACATTGTTATTGTGGAATGAAGAGGGTGACAGTGAGAATTAAGACCTAGCATTAGTGGAAAGGTGGACTGAAAGAAGAACCATGTGGGTCGAGAGTGGAGCGAGGAAAAATAATTAAGTTACGATGAAAGTAGACAGTGCTGAAATGATAGCCAAAGAAAAAGGATAGAAGGATATTTAGTGAGAAGGAGATTTAAGAAGCTGCCCCATTACTACTCCTTGGAAATTTATAGTCGCTTTGGTGCTTTATATAATGGCTGGCTTGCTTGAGGACAAGAGAAAGTGTATGTGAAGAAAATACTCAGTTTGCTCTTTATTATTTGATTCTTTTTATTTTTCTCCCATGCTTATTTCCCTTCCTTTTTCCAGGTGAAGTGGCTTCTTCTGCATGATTTTAGCTGAAGGATGCTCTGCATTTCCTTGATTTCTATGGAGACCTCAGAGCTGGGCTTGCCCCCCACTGACACCTCATCTTGCATCTACTCTACCTCCCAAGGTCTTTGCCTCTACAGCTAGCTCAACATTGCCCCTAGGTCCAGGAAGCCTGTGATGAACTTCAGGGGAGAGCCGGGAGAGTCATCCTGCTAGGCTTTGAGTGGCAATGCCTGGACATACTTCAAGTCACATGTTAACATGGGTCAGGCTGTCACTAGAAGGCAAGTGCTAAGACTTAAAGACTTATTTGCATTTTATTTAAATTTCATGGACTGAGCTTTGGACAATTTCCATGGCAGAAAAAATATATTCCATTCTCTAGGCACAACTGCCGGCGGTCGGCTACTTGCTGTCTTTGAAGCTTGCAGCATCAAGACCAATGACATCCTAGTTGTATTTCCAGATTTGAACATCCACCCCAAAACAGGTGTTTTGGAGACCCCGACATTTTCTGACTTTTACTTGAAAGTGCCAGGCCGTCTCTCCAGAGGAGCCACGCTCTGGAGAGCAACGTTGAATCCCCTAGAAGAGAGAGCATGGGGCGTGCTGATTTAAAAACAGAAAATGCAAAGTTGGACTGAAAATATCCTTCGTCTTCCAAGCAATCTGCTTAAGGGTTCCAAACTTACCTTAATTTGGTGAGAAAAGAATCTGCCCTATTTTTCTTTCTTCTTCTCCAACTGGAACCAGCCATTTCCCCAAGCGGCCACCATGGAGGTGGCGATGGTGAGTGCTGAGAGCTCAGGGTGCAACAGTCACATGCCTTATGGTTACGCGGCTCAGGCCCGAGCGCGGGAGCGCGAAAGGCTGGCTCACTCCAGGGCGGCTGCGGCTGCGGCGGTGGCCGCGGCCACCGCTGCGGTGGAAGGCGGCGGGGGGTCTGGAGGGGGTGCCCACCACCACCACCCATCGCGCGGGGCCTGCACCTCCCACGAGCCCCAGAGCGGCCGGGGAAGTCGGAGGAGGCGGCGACCGCGCCCGGAGAAGAAGAAAGTCCACCACCGGCAGAGCAGCTTCCCTCACTGCTCCGACCTGATGCCCAGTGGCTCGGAGGAGAAGATCCTGCGGGATCTGAGTGAGGAGGACGAAGAGGAGGACGACGAGGAGGACGAGGAAGAGGAGGGAAGGTTTTATTACAGCGAGGAGGACCACGGCGAGGAGTGTTCCTACACCGACCTGCTGGCCCAGGACGATGGGGGCGGCGGCGGCGGCGGCGGCGGGGGCGGCGGTGGCGGCTACAGTTCGGTCCGCTACAGCGACTGCTGTGAACGCGTGGTGATCAATGTCTCGGGTCTGCGTTTCGAGACCCAGATGAAAACCCTGGCCCAGTTTCCCGAGACTTTGCTGGGGGACCCTGAGAAGAGGACTCAGTATTTCGACCCTCTGCGCAATGAGTATTTTTTCGACAGGAACAGGCCTAGCTTTGATGCCATCTTATATTATTACCAGTCAGGGGGCCGCCTGAAGAGGCCAGTCAACGTCCCCTTTGATATCTTCACCGAGGAGGTGAAGTTCTACCAGTTGGGGGAGGAGGCCCTGCTCAAGTTTCGGGAGGACGAGGGCTTTGTGAGAGAGGAGGAGGACAGGGCCTTGCCAGAGAACGAATTTAAGAAGCAGATCTGGCTGCTCTTTGAGTACCCGGAGAGCTCCAGTCCAGCGCGGGGCATAGCCATCGTCTCCGTGCTGGTCATCCTCATCTCCATCGTCATCTTCTGCCTGGAAACCTTGCCGGAGTTTAGGGACGACAGGGATCTCATCATGGCCCTGAGCACGGGCGGGCACGTCGGGTTGTTGAACGACACGTCGGTCCCCCACCCGGAGAGTTCAGGGCACACGATCTTCAACGACCCCTTCTTCATCGTGGAGACAGTGTGCATCGTCTGGTTTTCCTTCGAGTTTGTGGTTCGCTGCTTTGCTTGTCCCAGCCAAGCCCTCTTCTTCAAAAACATCATGAACATCATTGACATCGTCTCCATTTTGCCTTACTTCATCACGCTGGGCACGGATCTGGCCCAGCAGCAGGGGGGTGGCAACGGGCAGCAGCAGCAGGCCATGTCCTTTGCCATCCTCAGGATCATCCGCCTGGTCCGAGTATTCCGGATCTTCAAGCTCTCCAGACACTCCAAAGGCCTGCAGATCCTGGGCCACACGCTCCGAGCCAGCATGCGCGAACTAGGCCTCCTGATCTTCTTCCTCTTCATCGGGGTCATCCTCTTCTCCAGCGCTGTGTATTTCGCGGAGGCAGATGAGCCGACCACCCACTTCCAAAGCATCCCCGATGCATTTTGGTGGGCCGTGGTGACCATGACAACCGTGGGCTATGGGGACATGAAGCCCATCACGGTGGGGGGCAAGATCGTAGGGTCTCTGTGTGCCATTGCAGGTGTCCTAACCATCGCTCTGCCGGTGCCGGTGATTGTGTCTAACTTTAACTATTTCTACCACAGAGAGACGGAAAACGAGGAACAGACCCAGCTCACACAGAATGCAGTCAGTTGCCCATACCTCCCTTCTAATTTGCTGAAGAAGTTTCGGAGCTCTACTTCTTCTTCCTTGGGGGACAAGTCAGAGTATCTAGAGATGGAAGAAGGAGTGAAGGAATCTCTCTGTGCAAAGGAGAAGTGTCAGGGGAAGGGGGATGACAGTGAGACAGATAAAAACAACTGTTCTAATGCGAAGGCTGTGGAGACCGACGTGTGAGTCTCGCTCTCCACCCGCCACTGCTCGCTCCCCCCAATCCCAGCATCTCCAAATATATTTATGCATAGAGAGTGCAGTTATGAAAATGATATATGCAAATGAATCCAATGCATACAGTAATACACCATTTAATGGTTATACATGGCATAATTGTTACTAAACTTGTATTACATATCAAATAAATGATACATCTTGGAGAAGAGGGAGGCTTAAGTAGGAGCAAATCTATCTTTATATTTTTATTAGAATGCAAGAATTTTGCACATTAACTGGAAGAGATGTTAAAAGTAAAGACAGTTCCGTGGAGAGTGTGTGTGTGTGTGTGTGTGTGTGTGTGTGTGTGTGTGTACTGTGTGCGCGCATATGTGTGTATGTACAAGTAAATTGTCAACGTTGTTAGTAATTGTGCAGTGATGGGAAAAGTTGGCATTTTGAAGTATTTACTATGTAAGAACTAATGAATTTGAGCAGTTGTTTATCAGTGCTTTAATAGCATTTCATGTCTTTGGATTCCATAGCTGTTGTTTTTTAAAAATTGTAAGAATTACTATGTAGAAAAAAGAAAGTGAATTATTTAATAGAGTATAGGTCACAATTTTATCTTGGATTTAATTAAAGTTTATTTTTAACTGGAAATTAACTTTTAAAAAGGCTGCAGGGGCCTTTAGAAATTGATTATATTTTATTATTAATTTTGGGAAGATGTGACATCAAATGCCTAACAATAATGGAAGAAATGAAATCAGAGAAACTGCAACAAATTTTGTTCACAGTTAACAGGACTGGAATTTTCTTTACTTTTTTTTTTCCTTTGCACTACTTTATATGCTGGAGATTGAGAGAGACTTCATACTGTGAATGTTTACAAATGTAACAGTTCAATGACAATCATTGGAAGAATGATTTCTTAGTCTTATTTTATTGTTCTCTTATTTTCTTTGTGTGAGACAAACGGTCACACAGACAGCAGCAGCACATGATTCCCTTCTTTTTTTAAATCTCAATAATTGATCTGCAAAGGGACTATGAAGTCAAATTTAGCAACTGAATCTTTTGAAATTGGTCTGTTAACAATGATGCTTCTGAAACCATACTATTTTATATATTCTTCTGCCTTTAAAGCCAGAATAATTTAACCAAAGTTAATGCATGCACTGAAAGAATTCTTGAAGAAATAAGATGCCCAGCAGCTATAGTGATTATGGCTTAAGAGCTTTGTATTAAATGTGCGACATAAATGCTAGATTTACTAAGTTTATTTATTTGTGTAGCGACTTAAGGGACAGAATGTGGGGATTCACCTCAGAATTCAGCATTCTATTTGCTCAAATTGATATAACAGAACTGGTGTCAAAACATTTGCTTTCCACATCACCATCATTATCGTTTTTATGAAAGGAATTTATGACACTTAATAACTGAATTTAACTCACGACAAGGTGTTCTAGAATGTGAGGTAACAGCTAGTGATGTGACAACATTGTTAAGTCATCAAGAGATGTAGCTTAGCAAACTCAGAATGCATAAGAGGCCTTATTCTCCAATATTTTAACTTCTGTTCTTTATAAAATGGTTGTTCTGAGGTCTGGGGGAAAAATGCTATGGAAGTTATCTCAGCACATAATAAGCTCTGACAACTGTGAACTTTAAAAAAAAAAAAAAAAAAGAGCTAGAGTAGCTTTTCTCAAGCCTCATAACCCCAGGCCATCATTTGCTAATAACATAAATCTTATCTCTCCTTAATGGTACTTAAAATTCAAAGTAAGTGCAACTAAGAAAAAAAAAAAAAAAAAAGAGCTAGAGTAGCTTTTCTCAAGCCTCATAACCCCAGGCCATCATTTGCTAATAACATAAATCTTATCTCTCCTTTAATGGTACTTAAAATTCAAAGTAAGTGCAACGTTGGATTTAAAACCCAAGTTTTATCCCCTTCTCTTCACCCCTTCTCCACCACTATAGAGGTACACCTCTTAGGAACACCTTTTGGAGAATGAAAAACAGCGGCAGTGGGGGACCTTGGGGGTCGATTGAGTGTGCAGACCAAAAATCTCTAGTGGACAACAGAGAGTGACAGAAGAAGCAAATGCCGTCTTGTAACAAGACTTCCAAGGTGGCATTTTAATATATTTTGGATTTAGAGCAAAAAACGTGGCAAACATTTGAGTAGGGTAACACTGTTCAGGCTGGTCACTGTTCACTTGGGCAGGTTTCTCTGTTCATCTCTGCCCCTCCAGTTTCCTCTTACTGAAAAAGAGGGCACACAGTACATTTGTTATGTCACAGAGTTTTTACAGAAGGCAAATGAGAACATGTGAAAACTCTGAAATGCCAAGTTCCGTATAAATACCTGATGTTACATCTACAGTGCTTCATGCTCCTCTGGGAGAAAAAGAGGTTTAGAACCCTTGAGTTACATGCTTTATTAGGATACTGTAAAAATCATGGATAGTTTCTGTAATTTTGAGCTCCTTACAAGCAGTTGATTTGGAGACACAAGATAGCTTGTCATTGAATGATTACTTTAGTTTCTTCTCTTGGGGAGGATCCCAGGCTTGTTGTGGGATAAAAAATTGGCTCTGTGGACAAGATACCATGTATCTTTTGCTGTACCCAACTAGGTCAGATTATATCTTAAAATAGTTTAAATGTTCTGTGGCATTGGTTGTTTATTGACTGTGCTATAATAGCAATAGCAATGATTTGGCTGTTGAGAAAATGTATTTTGTTGGTTCTACAGCATCTCCTTTTTAAATCTGAAAAGTTACATTAAATTGTATTGATATGTACTTGAGTTGGTAATTCTGAGAATTCAGAATTTAGGAAATTCTGTAATATAATCATTTAGGGACCCTAGGGGTTGTTTGTCTCACATGGTTTTCTTAAGGGTCAAGAAGTGACAGCAGGCGCTTCCAAACCAAATATTACTAGGTTATCACTAAATGTTTGTTTGTGCTTTTTTTCCCTGCAAGACGCATTTATTTTTGGATGTCTGGATCTTGATTCCACACTAGGAAGGAAGCATTTAAGCCCTCAAGACTTGTATAGGAACACTTCTGTGTGGAACAGTTCCTTATAGAGAATGTGTGAAGGTAGATTCCTCAGTGCAGCTGAGTATTTTCTTTCCAAATCACAGCTAGACAAAGTTCTTTAGTACCATTTGTGAATGTTCTATACTAAAATATGCTTCTAGGGGTTATTTGTAACTGATTTAGCAAACGATATTTTCTTCAAGGCCACCATACATATTTGATTGTAACATAAAAGAAAGATGACCCCATTTAGAGATTTGAATTCTTGGGATCTGAGATTCTTTTGTTGCTTTTTAGATGATAATAAATGTTACCAAAAGTATAATGTTTGAGGGTTATCCTAATCAGAGTCTTTTCAAGGGTAGATGCATTGTTCTCTTTTGCAAATCCTTGGGAAGGAAACAGTTATGTATAACAGTTATGGGAGAGCTGGGGATTTAAATACTCCTTTGATTATCTGTGAAAAGGGAGCTTGTGGGTTCCTGGGGTGTGACAGCTGGTTTAGGGGTCCAGAGTCAACTTGTTGACTGTAGGTACATCATTTCTAGTCCCTGATTCTCAGGTTTTTGTTTTTAAATGTACAGTCAGCTGACTAGGCTACATATCAAGCTAATTTAGTGTTACAGAATGTTGGTGCTGGAAGGAATTAAATGATAATGTAGCCCAATCAAATGATAGTGTAGCCCTCAACTCATACCAGCCTTGGTTTTATAGTGAAGTAGTCAGAACAAAACAGTTTTAAAATCTCCCTGTTAGGCTAAATGCAGAACCAGGAGTTTCAGATTTAGCTTTAGAGTGTGAATTAAACCAAATAAATTGGGTTTATGTTGAAGCTATTTATTCTAGCAACTTCTAAAGCAAAGAGGTTCACTTATTAAAAAATGACTCCTCAGTCTCCAGTTGAATACACATGGTGAAAGTTGGTAAGTAAACATTTTGATTTCTTGCTTTGTTATAGTACAGTCTTGTCAGTAAACAGTGTGCAAACCTGTGCTGGGGATCTCATTTTATGCTTAGACACATGTAGTGTTTCACAAGTGCTGCTGCTTTCCTTGTCAAATTTGTTTTCAACAGGATCGCTGAAGCTCTGGAAATCTTTTCTTTAAGCATGTGTTGAAATAGAATTCAATATAGGAATAAGAAATACCTAGGGAAAATACTGAGTTAAATACATACATATATACTTTTTCCCCCGTTTTTTTGGAAGTCAACATTAACCAGCGGAAAATTATTTTTAATTGCATCGGAATCATAAACATTAGCACCTCCATGTCCCAAGAGAATCAGGCAGGGTTGTTGATTTTCAGATTGTGATACATTTTCAGCACTAACATTGCAGCTATTCCTTGGTAAAGTGGGACGTAAATACACCTCGGTTCAGTTTACATTTGTAAGTGAACCTGTGATGGTCTTATGCGCATGATGCAGAGTGTAACATCCCTCTTTATATTTTTTTTTATTGATACAGTTTAGAATGATTATGGGTTGTCATTCAGTGACAAAGGGGCCTGTTCCAGGAAATCTTCCTGACCCAAAAGCCATTTTGAATTCTGCAAGGGACATTTGGTGTGAACAAAAGGTACCTCTTGGTTTTCCTGCCTGGAAAGAAGCTTGACTCAAAACACAGAATTCCTCAGGCCAATGTTTCCACCACTACAGGTTAGAAGACAGTCCTACTTTCTAGTACGGAGATCCAAAAGATCTGTTTGAAAGAAGGTTGATGGAGTGGTTTGTGTTTAAGATTGAAGGGACCAGGCCTGTTTATTCAGTAAATGGGAATATGTACTTTTGCAATGTGAATTAAGATTAGGACTGTGATATGAGTGTTATTTCTGACTTGGTTTTCTGTTTCCATAGCCTCCCTAATTTCTCATAGTGTCTTCCCAAAGTATGCTAATACATATAAGACCATATGACCCAATTTGAGGTTCAGAAAATATGGTTACTTTATTTATGGGTAAATAACTTAATCCCAGAGTATGAGTTAGGTGATTTGAAAAACAGCACATACTGAATAAGCTGCAGCTCTAAGTGAGACCCTCGCACATCCCCTTTCAGGCCTGTTGGTAATACTATGTGGAATTGATGTATAAGGCAAGTGATGTGCTAAATAAGAACTTTTGCTGTCATCTAGGAAAGAATAGTTCCATATTCCTTTGTCATAGTGTTGCTGATCTGAGATTCAGTTTTTAATCTATTTTCTATCATTGGTATCTTTGAAGGAGAATTTCTATCTTGAGTACTAGGAACTAAGTGATAGTTGACCCACAGATATTCAACTTTTGCTTCCTGACCTGCAAATTATCTATTGTATAGATTTTCCATACCTAGTTTCTCATTTGAGGCTGGCTTTCAGACTCAGAACCACTGTCTCCCATTAAACAGCCAGTCTAGAAATGCAGAATCATAAAAAGAAAACAATGCAGTACAAAGAATAAAAAAGTATACACAATTCAGAAAGCCAAGAAAAACCTAACTGGGAAGCCAAGTCTTTTGTTCAGATCAATGTGTCACATACGTTAGAATGAAATATGAAGGATTTAGGGGTATCCTTTGTCATGGTGGGTGACATAAAGCAGAGATAAGTTGCTGGAAGAATGTACATTGTGAACATTTTCTGCGAAGACAGTGGAAATCCCAACATACTTTTGTTGTTGTTCAGTCACTAAGTCATGTCCAACTCTTTGTGATGTTATGGACTGCAGCCTGCCAGGCTTCTCTGTCCCTCACTACCCCCAAAGTTTGCCCAACTTCATGTCCACTGGATTGGTGATACTATCCAACGATCTTATCCTTTGCTGCCCTCTTCTCCTTTTGCCTTCAGTCTTTCTCAGCATCAGGGTCTTTTCCAATGAGTCAGCTGTTTGCATCAGGTGGCCAAAGTATTGGAGCTTCTTTAACAACTTAGTTTAACAGTAATCTTAATAGTAATTTGTAGGAATAATTAATAACCATGGAAAATATGCTGTCTTTTTCCAGTTTTTGGTATTATGTGGAAACACACTTGGATTGTTTTTGATTATTCTGTAGACCAGAGACATATTTTTAAAGCCAAAGAGCATGAAGGCATTTTTACCCACACTAGGCTACTTGCTATTGAGGGGTTGATCAGTCACCTCTTAAATCAGTCAAAGTACTTAAATAAATAGCCCCTGTGGATATCACCTAAAGTTGTGTCAATGCTGAGCCAAAGAATTATGTTAGTTTTAGCATAATTAGATTAATCTATTCATATGTTTATATATATCATATGTTTCATTTTCTGCCTTTATTCTGGCAAAAGATATAAGCAAATGAATGGGCTGAGGCACTAAAGGAAACTTCTTAATGTGAAATGACAATCTGTAAATATCATGTGTTAGGGAAATGGTAACACTTAAGGATGGAAGAGTCTTCATATTCTATGTTGGATTTTTATGCCATACAGCCACTGTAGTATTAGGGTTAAACTCTGAGACATTCCACTGGGTAAGATGTGGAGTTCATTGTCAGGCAAGGTGTTTATATTTTATGGAACTTTGTAAAATGCTTATTTTACTCTTCATGGACATTATATAAAGGATATATATAAACTGGACTATATGGAAACTGGACTATATGGCTCCATAGATCTACTCTGTGCTCTTTAGAAATAGAT